GTATGGGTGGGGTGGGCCCCAGTGCAAATGGGCTGATAATCTAGTTTTGGGGTGTGTGTGTGTGTGTGTGTGTGTGTGTGTGTGAGAGAGAGAGAGAGAGCGAGAGCGGGCGCGGGCGCGGGCGTGAGCACTGACCTGTCAGTGAGTGCCTGCGTTTGAATGGAGGAGACCTGTGTGTGTGTGTGTGTGTGTGTGTGTGTGAGAAAGAGAGAGAGAGCAAGAGCGAGAGAGAGAGAGAGAGCGAGCGAGAGCGAGCACCGACCTGTCAGTGAGTGCCTGCGTTTGAATGGAGGAGACCTGTGCCTCTGCTTTGCTCTGCACTGATGTGTGATTGTGTTTCACCCCATCGGCCAGGATCACGCGCTGGAACCTTCCTTTCCCAAGCGTGACTCCCTCCATTGGATTCTGCTTTTATGCGTATTCCCCGTTTAAGAGGTTCACGCAGGAGCAGACTTAGGTGCACGCTCTGCTGTAAGAGAATGTCACCTGCATGTCCTCCTCAGCGTGGGAAGATATTATCAGGTGTCGACTCTGGGCAGCGAGCATTGTGGGTGCTGGGGGTGTAGCTGTGAATAAAGTAGACAAGTCCATGCTTTCCCAGCGACCGCCCAGCGGGAGGAGACAGCTGATCGCAGTATGAAAACTGTCCCACGTAATAAGTATTTCCAGTCAATTTCATTGTTTTGGATTAAGTTGTTTTCTAAACTGTTTTAGGATTAGTGTATTGAAGTCATTTTTCCGACTTACTTTATGGTGAAAATTTTTATCAACAATACAGATGATGGATTGCTAGTAAAAAATGTTTTTGTCTTTAATTTTTTTGTGACAGTTTGTTAAATGAACTTGTGATGGCATGTTTTTTTAATCAATATATTTTTTTACTTTCATCAAGAATTGATGTTAGGCTCTAGCCGGTTTGGCTCAGTGGATAGAGTGTCAGCCCGCAGACTGAAGGGTCCCGGTTCCATTCCGGTCAAGGGCGTGTACCTCGGCTGCAGGCTCGATCCCCCGCCCTGGTTAGGCTCATGTGGGATGTGTCTCCCTCACATCAGTGGTTCTCTCTCTCTCCCTCCCTCTCCTTCCCGCTCTCTCTAACAACCAGGGGGAAAATCCCCTTGGTGAGGATCACAAAGGAGGAGATCTGCTGTCGGGGGAAACACTCCGAAGCGCCTTTTCCCAGGGAAACCTCTGGAAGGGGCTGCGGCTCCCGCTGCTGGTGTCCTGAGAAGGTGCCGGCTGCAGCCCAAGGTGGGCGATCGGTTCTCCGACCGGCCCTGTCCTTACTCTGCAACCCTGCGTGGCACTTGACTTCTTCACATTTAAGTTTTAAATTTATAAAGAAGAGCAGCTGCCCTCATGAAGTGGGCGGCCTTTTCCCTCTCACGCTGATCTGTGTTCTCATGTGGCTTTGCTGGGAGGGTGCCAGGGAAGGCCCAGGCCTCCAGGTAGATAGGAAAATGGGTTTGCAGCTGCAGTTTTGTCACCCCCGTGTTAGTCATCTGTGCAATAATAACAGTTTGGATTGAGAGTGAGGAGCTAGTTCCAGGCTCTGTCTCTGGGCCTTTCTTTCTTTGCTTTGGACCTCGATTCACATATACAGTGATGTGGCTGCGGAAGCGTGTCAGGAACTTGTATGAGTTTTGATCCATGTAGAACCTGTATGCCAGGGAAGTAGTTTGTGGCTTTTGAGCTGTGGCCTGCTCGTACTTGAGGCTACCTATCTAGCCAACCCAATTTCCAAGTGAGAACATAAGGAGGACTGGAGTTCTCGGAGCCTGGAGCCACGTCTGTGCGGGCCGTGCTGGCTGATGCCTTCCCAGAAACGCCTTCCTCTTGAACGGGAAGGGCACTGCCAACAGCCTGGGTCCCCTGGCAGCTCCAGTGCTTCCGGCTGTTCAGCCTCGGCCTGCAGCGGAGGAGGAGGGGGACGGGCACGGGCAGGAGTCTGAAGGCCCAGGAAGAGGGCGAATGCGGGCTTTGGGGTCAGAGGCTGTAGGGGCCGCAGACATGGAGACGAAAGGCTTCTGAGGAGGGAAATGGGCCCTAAGCGGGAGGAGGAGCCAGAGACAAAGAGAGAGATCAGAACAGCCTGGTGACGTGGCCTGGGCACAGGGCAAACAGCCATGGAGCCTGTCCTGCCCCAGGCTTCCATGGAGGGGCCTTCAGTCCCAACACGATCAGTGTGCCAAAGCCGTGCGCCAGGCGTCATCCAGGCTCGCGTCCCCGCGCTCCCTCCCTGGCCCTGCGTCTCCATCTCGGTCCATGGCCTGGAGCATCTGTCCCGTGTGGGCGCCATGCTGCGCTCCTCCCCTCCCTTACCCTGCTCACCCCGCCCATCAGCCACACTTTTGTTCCGTCTTCAGCCTTTATTCCAGTCCGGCCCCCTCTGCCTCCACTGCCACGCCACGATCGGTCACCTCACCTGACTGGCGTCTCTCACTCCTGCCCCGTTCGATCCCAGTCTCCAGACGACATCCAGTCTTTTAACGTAGTGAACCCGCTTAAAGCTCTCCAGTGGGGAAGAGCCAGCGGCACTGCTGAGGTTACAGGCCCAATGTGGTACCTGGCTCTTGCGTTTTCCTCTCATTTTCCACCTGTCTCCTCACTTGGTGCCATCCGGTTTCCCTGACCTTCCCATGCCCTACATGGGCCAGGCTTCCTCGACCAGTAACGCAGCTCCTCTGGATTCCCACCTGCTGGTCCTGGCCCTCAGGGGTCAGGCTGGGTCTCCCCTCCCAGAGCCCTGCGACCTGACCACGTGGCCCAGGGCTCCCTCTGACCCTGTGCCGGCCACTGTCCTCTCCCACCCCCGGCTTCATTTCCTCGTTGTGCTCACCATCCTGTGGAATGAGCCGACTCCTGTCCTTGTTTCCTGTCTGTACTAAAAGGCAATCTGTGAGGGCGGGAACCTTGTCTGTCTTTTTCACAATTGGAACCCCAATTCCTAGATAGTGCCTAGTCTTTTGAAGAGATGACCCTCTAAAAAAATATCTGTTGGGCCCTAGCCAGGTTCACTCAGTGGATAGAGAGTCGGCTGGAGGACTGAAGGGTCTCGGGTTCGATTCCAGTCAAGGGCCTGTACTTCGGTGTTGACTCCATCCCCAGCCCTGATTGGGGTATGTGCAGGAGGCAACCGATCGATTTTTCTCTCTCACACCGATATTTCTCTCTCTCTCTCCAAAAACTAATTAATATATTTAGCTTGGATGCCAGTAGGGTGTTTGTAGGCTTGAGAAATGATCTCAAAGTTCATAAGGAAAAAGATCTGGGAGTAGCCTCACAAAGTTTTAAAAAGCGACAGGAAAGCCCGGCCAGAATGTGCCCCCGAGCAGGTGTGCTGAGATCAGGGCCATGGTGCTACCACTGCTCAACCAGAAGGGAGCACCCAGAAGAGGTCTCCCTGCCGACGAGCACCGAGGTCCGCGGGAAGAGGCCGGGTTCTTAATCCCAGAAGCGAATGGGTGCTGCTGGCAAGGCAAGGCGCCCTCCCGAGGGCGTGCGGCCGAGCCCTGGGATAACACTGCACGCACACGCGCAGTTACAGTTGGTTTAAAGGTCGACATGGAATAAAATAATATTAGAGAATAAAGGGCTAAAAACCTACAGGCTGTGTGATCAAAGAAATATCTTATATGTAAAAATGTAAACTTTCTTACAGGAAAGATGCTATACGCAAAATGAACAAGAAGTAAGTTTTAACCATCTTCCCGCAGTTGACGGAGAAGCAGTTCATAGCATACAATGAGTTCTTCTCAGCGGGCAGAGAAAGACACACAGCCTGTCAGAAGCCTGGCGAGGGGTGTGATGAGCGATTCGTGCATGAACTGAAGCGACCGCGAAGCGGGGCTCCTGGCAGTGGGCGGTGGCTGAAGGGGCTCACTGACGGCCGGAGGCGGGCGGCGCTCTCCGAGGCCAGAGGCGCTTCCTGTGGCTGCGGGTTCCGCTCCCTGCCTTGTGACCTTTTTTATTTTCCAAAAGAATAGTGTTGACTTTTACAAATTGTTTTTTCTAAATATATTTTTATTGATTTCAGAGAGGGAGAGAGAGAGAGAAATATCAACAATGAGAGCGAATCATGGATCGGCTGCCTCCTGCATGTCCCCCACCGGGGATCGAGCCACAACTTGGGCATGTGCCCGTGACCGGAATCAAACCCGGGACCCTTTAGCCTCCAGGCCGACGCTCTATCCACTGAGCCAAACCAGCCAGGGCGACTTTTATAACTTTTTACATTTTAAATCTTCGTTATATGTCATGCTTTTTAATTGTTTCATATTTTCTCTCTCTGAGTTAACACTAGCAGTACTGTTACTACTTATTAATTACTACAGGTTATTTCCTAAGAAACTTACTTTTCTTTTTTGGGCGATCCCTGCATGTGGCTCATTTAAAAGATTGCTCGTCATGGCATTTTAAAAAATATATGTATTTTTATTGATTTCAGAGAGGAAGGGAGAGAGAGACAGAAACAACAATGGTGAGAGAGACTCATTGATCAGCTGCTTCCTGCACGCCCCCTACTGGGGATCGACCCCACAACCCAGGCATGTGCTCTTGACTGGAATCGAACCTGCGACCCTTCAGTTCACAGGCCAATGCTCTATCCATTGAGCCAAACCGGCTAGGGCCGTCATGGCATTTTGTTTGGAGCAGCCGGTCTTAGCATTTGCTGTTTCAAATAAAATTTTCTTAAGATTGGTTTAAAAAAATCTCCACTGTTCTAATGTCTAGAGCAGTGGTTCTCAACCTTCTGGCCCTTTAAATACAGTTCCTCATGTTGTGACCCAACCATAAAATTATTTTCGTTGCTACTTCATCACTGTCATGTTGCTACTGTTATGAATCGTCATGTAAATATCTGATATGCAGGATGGTCTTAGGCGACCCCTGTGAAAGGGTCGTTCAACCGCCAAAGGGGTCGCGACCCACAGGTTGAGAACCGCTGGTCTAGAGTAAAAGAAATGAAATCTGAACGAGCGTTTTCACGCAGAGGATGTTATGTCAGCACGCACGGCCGTTTGCATCGTGGTTTCCAGTGTCGAGTGCAAACCCTTTTCTTTTGCGAGACTGTCCTTTACATCAAAGCTCTTTGCGAGTTACACTTGACCGTTTACGTTTCAGAACCATTTTAAATAGCAAGCACACTTGTAAGCTCACTTAGGTGATTTCCCGGCATTAGGCGTCTAGGCGGACAGCACGGCCTAGCACGGCCTGTCCCCGGGGCGAGGTTTGTGGGACGCACGGAGGAGTTGGTGCAGTCTAGTCACTATCCCTAGAAATAAGCTTTCTGTTGCTAAGTGCTCTTTCCTAGCGCCTGGTGACATAACTCACAGAATAAACGTTCCCCTTAAAGGTGCCTTAATTCCTTGGTTTTAGTCTGTCTGGAGCTCTGCAACCATCACCACTGTCCAAGGTGAGACATTTTCATCCCCCAAAAAGAAACTCTTTGATTTCCAAAGTCCATGTCCTGACATGCAGGCGGAAGGTCTCCTCATGTGTCACCTCAGCGAAGAACAGCACAGTGAGGAGCGCTGTGCGATGGAAATGTCAGTGCTCCCAGCTGACTCCTATAGCTCGAGTCACGTTTTGTTTTGTGTTGCTATGTCTCTTCTGCTCTCTGCAGGATTCGGGGGGCTGGTGAGGTTGTTTGTGTGGTGGGGGTTGGGGGGAAGGTCACGGTCCTGGTCCTGGTCTTGAAGCCGCTGTCGGTCGCAGGGCCCTTGCCGATATGAATAACGACGGGAGGATGGATCAGGTGGAGTTCTCCATCGCCATGAAGCTCATCAAGCTGAAGCTGCAGGGCTACCAGCTGCCCTCCGCCCTGCCCCCCGTCATGAAGCAGCAGCCGGGGGCTATCGCCAGCGCACCAGCCTTCGGTGAGTGTGAGCAGGAACGGGTCCGGCAGCTCCCCGTGCAGTTTACAGAGACACGTTTCCCTCCCCCGCGCAGCCTCTGGCACCGGGCAGTGCAGTCCCGGAGGTAACCGGTGGGGAAGGGATGGTCGCAGGGAGGACGGAGGTGCTGGGGAGGAGCGAGTTCCCACCGCCGCCTCCCTGGACCCGCTCGCAGGTGACTGGGGCAGAGTCGGTGGCGGGGACCCCGCACCTGCCGCGTGCGGCTCCTGTCCTCTGCTCCCACTGTGGTGCTGACCTCACGCTGTCGCAGGCTTCCTCTGGGTTTCTGTCTCCATAGCGCCTTTCCTTTCCCTTGTGTATGAACAACCCCTGTGGGTTATGGTGCCTCAAAATGTATTTTCAAGTTCGCAGTATTGAGGCAATTGGCCACATGAAATTCTCTCGGAACAAAACGAAGCAGGAAAGCATGAGCAGTGTTACCCCAGCCATAATCCGAGTTCTGTAAAATGCCACCTTTAGGCTGATATTTTCCTCAGAACCAACCGGTAATTAGTTGACTGAGATCACCGGCGCTGTAACGTCTCTGTTCGCAGCGCAGGCTTTGGTCGTGCGGGATGATGGAGAGGTCACAGGCTCAGATGGAGCCCCTGGTTCCGGGGCAGGCCCGGTGCCTCTGCCCGGTGGTGAAGGGAGGAGTTGAGGGCGGAAGACAGGCCGGAGGCGGCTGGGGCTATGGATGACCTTGGGCAGGGGCCTGGAGCCTGGTCGGAGGCTTGAGGGGCCCGTGGAGCTGGAGGCGCAGGCGCTGGGGGGGTTTGGGACGGGAAGGCCCCGCAGTGTGCGGGTAGGAGGAAGCTCGGTGACTGAGGAGCGGTTACGGGGACAAGACTCAGCGCCACTCACAGGAGAGCAGGCTCCCGGCGCCGCTGTCACACCTGCTGTGCGATGGCTCCTTAGTGAGAACGGGCACGGACGGCATCGCCAGAGCAGCTCCGAGGCCGGCGCAGTGGCTGCATCTGCTCTTGAGTTTCC